CCCGTCAAGCTGGGCACGACATATTAAGCTGGCGACATATTAAGCTGGCTCTGTCTCCAGATCGGTGCACTCAATATTTCCGAGCTCGAGTCAGGCGCACAAGCTCTTTCAGGGACCACCTCCACCCTCCAGCTGGTCGCCTCCGTCACTCGAGTTGAGATTGGGAAGTTACAGATGTGTGTGAGTGGCGGCGCGTAGCCAAGAGTGGACATCCTGGGGCTCGCCAAGGCTCTTGAGATTTTTTTAGCGTGTTTGCGAGCTCAAGATGTTCCGTCAGTGGGCAGGCACATGGCGGGAATGGCGAGCGATGCTATGCTGGGCAAAAAGATGGAGGCGATGGATGCTGTGCGCAAGCTTCTGCTGGGCGATGCTGCCCTCTCCAATCTAGGCATCCATGGATCCAATCGAAGGACCTACCATCGTCTCCACTGCCCTCGAGCTTGAGCCCTAGCTGGATGGTAGGAGGGGAAGGCGCGAGGGGGGAACAAAGGGCGCTGCCTCGAGCCTGCCTCGGGCCTGTTAAAGCCAGCCAGACCAACTAGGGAAGCAAGGGCCGTCAGCACGCCGCCTGCCCTGCTAGCCGAAAAGTGGAAGCCGCGTCCAGAGCTACCTGCAAGGTACTTCATTTTCGCGAATGGGCTAGTGCCAATCCCCCTTGCCTCGGCCACGGATGGCCAACAAACGGCAGGAGTGACGGAGGAGGTCTGGCGTGACCACAAGTCGCGCACTTGTCACATCCTCTTTTTGTGGCTCGCCCGCGCGGACTCTCTTGCTAGCAGCTAGCGCTCTCCCTTCCTTCCCCGTCCTACTTGTCCCGTCCCTTCCGCCTCCTCTTCCCTTCTCCCTTTCTCCCAGCATCGCTCTTTGAATCGCCTCACCCGGTAAACTTATTTTTGGTTGTTGTTGGAGAAGTAGGAAGACGAAGTCGACGGGTTGCTGGTTGCTGGACGAAGAAGACGAAGTTCGAAGATTGAAAGTTTGGAGTCGATGCTTGAAAAAATCGGACGAGTTACGAATTTGTTTTACAAAAGGTCAGTTCAAATTGCGCAACACATGCTGTCCTTGGAGTCAAATCCAGACCTCTATTCCCCGTCATCCCAACCCTCACCTTGCTTGGCCACACGATTCCCTTGCGCTCGACGTGCGAACCTGGCCCTTGGCAACATTCCTGGACCCAACTCAGAATATGGACCTGGACCTGGACCTGGACTCTGGTACCTGGACCCGAACTCGAACTCGACGAAGAGGATGGATGGATCATGGGCTTGAGACCTGAACGAAGACGTAAAGCCAAGACCGGAGGGGCTCGATGCACATGTTTCGTTGCTTAGACTTGGCTGCCTTACTGCAAACCTTCACCTACGCCAATCTCAGCATCTTCAGCCTCAGACTACAAGGATGGCACCATTGCCACCTTTCGATAACGGCGACATTTCATCAAACCAATCGAGCTTGTCCTTCGGCCCAAAGCCTATTACCGACCTACCGCCCGGGCCGAACGAAACATATCTACTTAAAAGTCGGCTTCTCGAGCTATTTACGCCAATAACGGCAGGCTGGTGTCGAAAGATGATGGACCAGTATCCCTCAAATTCCGCCTCTGGCGTATAAGGCCGAGGCTTCAACATGGACCAATTTCAGTTCCGCCACGAAAGCTTCTGGACGAACCATCACTTGGCTATCAGTCCTCGACTTTCTTTGTCCCAGCCAAGTGCCAAAACGCTCCTTAACTACTGCGAACGGGGTGGATGTTGGAAGGCGTGATACAGACCGAACAGGGTCTCTGCTCAGAAGTCATGGATCTAACATCAAAGAATGATAGATTCACTAGTTCCGCAAATATGTCGTCGCTCTCTCGCCGTGCGTGCTACAAGTGTGGTGAGCTTGGCCACCACGCCGAAGCCTGCTCCTCGCCTCATAGGCTTTGCTACAACTGTGAGCACACTTGCATTTTTCAACCACAGAATGATGACACTGACACTTTATTGTAGGCAAGCAGCCGAGTAAGTATTACTCCACCTACCATCCTCGAATTCCCGGTCACTAACTATGTCAACCAAAGACCACGAATCTAGCGAATGCCCCCTGCCTCGGACCACCGAGGCAAAGCAGTGCTACCACTGCCAGGGATTGGGACATGTCCAGGCCGATTGCCCAACTCTTCGCCTGAGCGGCGCTGGTTCTACTGGTCGTTGCTACAACTGTGGCCAGCCCGGTCACTTTATTGTATGATTGCTTTCACTCTCCTAACTCTTTAATGGTGTCTGACCGTTGAACCTCTACAGCGCGGTTGCCCCAACCCTGCCAATGGCGCAATGGGCCGTGGCGCCCCGGTTGGCCGTGGTGGATTCGGAGGCTTTGGTGGACGTGGAGGTTTCGTTGGAGGACCTCGCCCGGCTACTTGCTACAAGTGCGGTGGACCCAACCACTTCGCCCGCGACTGCCAGGCTCAGTCAATGAAGTGCTATGCCTGCGGCAAGCTTGGACACATCTCGCGCGACTGCACCGCTCCGAACGGCGGCCCTCTCAACACTGCCGGCAAGTCTTGCTACGGATGCGGCGAGGCCGGACATATCTCTCGCGACTGCCCCCAGAGGAACAACACCAATGGCGAGACCACCCAAGGTGATCTGACCGCCCCCCAGCAGCCCATTGTCGCCCCGGCCGCTGCTCCCGCTGCTCCCATCGCCTAAGGTCTCGGTTGTCTCGCCCTGTTATCGCTTTCTTGGACTTTTGCATCATATTCGCTGCCACCCTGGTTCATTCTGCTACGACCCTCATACGACTTGCTATGCGGCGCCTAGGTTCTCTGGTCATCGGCTCATCTCTTCTGGACAAAACGATGGAATGGAAAAAGAGTTACGTCTCCTTAGCAAAAATCTTTTTCTTTTTACATGTCCCAGTTCATCTTCCGATTGGCGCAATAACTTGCGCTTCTTATTTTTCTTAGGGAAGCAACATCTATCTTCAACTTTTGCTTCTTCCCATCATGTTCACGGCGCGGTAGAGACATCATTGGAAACTTGGACGTCTTCGATACGGATACCCCCAGCTGCGACGAAATTTACGGTATAGTTTGGGGGCATTTATGTCGATCGACCTGTTTGTTTGGATCTCGAGCGTGCTCCTTTGCGTGTAAATTCGGTACCCGGCGTTTACTACGAAATGACAAATGACCCCGAGCATGAGGATACTTGATATGGAAGGACACATGTTTACTGCTCTTTTTTTCTTTTTGATTCACCATTGTTCGGATGGATATGGATCGGATTGGACTGGCGTCTGGACGGACTTCGTTTATTTGGCCTATTTTGGGCTAATGGCATCGGCATGTGTTCTTGGTCCCCTTTTTTTCTCGAAGTTATGCGACAGTTGAACGGTGAAGGAAGTGTAAATAGTGACTTGGAGATATTCGAATTCCAACCATGGGATTCGCAGTAAATACCAGGTTGCCATGGACGCGCCGCTAGGCACACTGTTGAGAAGGAAGATATCAGCGCTCATTGCTTTACATTCATTGGAGGGAGGTGGTTACCGCATATACATCAGAATGGGTTTTATTCGGAGTGTCGGTTTGGTTGCAGTTGTATATTTAACCTCACCGCCGCACTTCCCTCTAGGGACACAAGTTGTTTGGGATGTCTCGGGTTGTGCTGGGGAAGGTGGTAACAGTATTTGGCGGCATCGCGACTGGTTAAAGCTGTAAATAGTCGTTGGTTGATGAACTTCCCTTGCTGGAAGGTGAAACCAATGAAAGTATTTGCGGCTGTTATATTTTATTTGAGCTGTGCTTGATACCGTGAATGCGTGCCCGTTTTGTGATATTCCCCTATGCTTGTACAAGACGCGACATGCTTCGAGGATATACCCTCCAAGTTAACAGTTGAGGCAGGGTTAGAATATTGTCTTGGAGAGCCATCCAGCGATGCGCATTGTGATCGTGTTTCCAACGTTAACCTTGAAGAAGGATGTCAAAAGTTTGTCAACGAAGTATCTTAGCTAGATCAACCCTGTAGAGACTGTATCGGTGTCGCTACAGACAGAAACATGGCCATGGCTATGCTCCCTGCTTGGTAGCAGTTACTGGAATTATCACAAGAGGAGCATGCGAAGTTGGTTGGAAAAAATGTCTTTGTCAAACAAATAAAACATTTCAATTTTGACTCCTTCGATGTGACTTACACAATCGTGGTCCACGTACCATGATGACATGTTTTTACGCTGTAAATTCGTCAAGGGAGACGGGACGTGTGGAGGACAATTGCGTATGATGACTGAAAGAATAATAAGTGGGTGAGGGAAGAGACCGTTCTTTTATTACAGCTGAAGAGATGTGAAATTGACTATTCTAGCCGTTGCTTGGATACACATGCTCTTCACAGGTTTGGATGCTACTACTCTGCAAATGCGAAATCCTCAACTTCACTCACATGGAGTTGCTAGCGTTACAAGGTATGAAACTTAGTGATAAAATGCACTCAACATGTACCAAACTATGATAAACACCCGAAGCTTCAAGTTAGCATATAAACATACCTGAGCATGTGACGTGAACTCAACATCCACGTATAGTCATCCATCCATATGATCTGATGAACCGAGAAACTGAAACAGTCAGTCAGCTGATAGGTTTTATTGAGCGAAAGTCGGCCATAAAAGGACAGAACAGAAATGTCAAATAAGTCTTCGATTACACCACTGACAAAAAGCCGGCGTTCAAAATCTCCTCTCATTGAAATCTTAAATCATTCATGTGCACTCACTGGTTTGGGTTTTTGTTTGACAGATGAAATAAAACAGCTCATGGTTTGAAAGGCCAAAAGCAAAAGGTCAAAATTTAAAGTCAATATAGCTATGGCTTACGTCCTCGTAATGCGTGCTTGATTGATCTAATTTGGAAAAAAAAGGTGCTGGGTACTAATTGAACAATAGACTACTAGAAAAGCAAGAAGCGAAGATAATTGCAAATTAAACGGCATTACGCGGCAAAAGATAAGTGGTGCCTCCACACGGGATTGAACCGTGGACCTCGTCATATCGCATAACTGGAGAATTTACTTCTTACGAGTGACGCGCTCTACCACTGAGCTATAAAGGCTGATTTAACATCGTTGCTATTGGATGGTGAAATCGTTTACTTTTCATTCCTATGATTGGGCAAAACGATCCAGCTGTTTTGTGTTCCCTTGGGGTTTTTATGTGCCTTCGATAAACTGCACGCTTTCTTTTCTTTTTCCAGGCTGTGTTACCTTACTCCAGTGGTTCCCGGGCCACCAAAACTGCCCATTCAATGCAATGCACAAGAGCAGAGCCGCGACGGGGGACTTTTGTCCCTTGAGAGAACTGTGCACCAACATGCCAGGATCGACAGCAGTTCCGGTCTGTCGTGCTAATGACGGGGCAGACTGTGTTTCTCGCCAAGGAAGGCAGGCACAGCTGTGCATCCCTCGGGGACTTGGTGGTCTGTCGTGGAAGGCAGCCGCGACTTTCAACTCGCTCATCTCGAACTGAGCCACTTCCCCTCCTCACCCCTCCATTGCCCGGCACCGAACCTGCAATCGGGATTTCCAGAAAAAATCGAGACAGTCCAATCACCAGACCAGTGGTTGTGTTTCGCGCAAGGCTTTCCAATGCCTGCACTATGTTGCGACACTTGTGGGACCACAAACGTTATGTTTCAGGATTCAGTTCGCTGCACCAACCAATGCAGCTTAAAATCTGACAAGCTGAGCATGGCAATATGCACGTCTGGGGCAGAGCTTGGCCAGCTTTGACCAAGGACGGCTTCTGGGCTTCTCTATCCCGGACAATGGGTGCTGGGTTGGGTTCTGGGGATGCGATACCGACTCCATGCGACCTATGCAGCGACCTAACCGTTGCGGCATGGTGGCCACCCGCCCCGAGACTCAACCATGATTGAAGATACCACGCCGGTAGTAAAGGATGGAGGTTGGGGGCGACGATAGTCAAGAAATGCGCAAATCTGGGTGGTCGGACCCGACTCACTATCAGCCAATATTCCCACCTCTCAGCACTCGTGGTCGGAGCTGTCCTCAGCCCTGGAGCATGGCACTGCATAATCAAGGCCTGGAAAGTCTTGGAAGCTGCCGAAGTGTGGCACCTGGCTGCGTGCACGAATCGTAGCCGTCACCACCATGCGAACCCTTCACGAATTCGGCGACGCCAATCAGTGACTGATGGCTCCCTCCGCGAGGAGCGTGGAGCATGGCACCACATGGGGCAGGAGACTACACATGCAGTACAGATCAGCAGAACGAACAAGTTAAAAATGGAAATGCGGAGAATTAGGTGTGTAGGGATATTGTGCAATCAATGTCAATGGCACCTGTCGCCACCAGCCTGGTCAAGTATACATACTGACATGATATAACATATAGTATCCGGCTTCCCTGGGGCTCCCCCAAAGTTGTGAGGTTTTTTCTCTCTTTCATTCGAGGCATTACACTTCTCCACTGCGAGCGTACTACCGCACCAAGCCATGTCGTACAAGCAGGTCCGCCACGCCCGGGTGGCAAGCGACGATACCATCGTCGCCGCCGACGAGGGACACGGAGTTGAGGCCGGAGATGCTGGCATCCGCGGGCCATACCACTTCATCAACATGGACTCCAGCGTTACCCAGCCGCACGAAACACCACAGTTTCAGTTCCAGTTCCAATTTCCCGAGACCCAACATGTTCACCAACAGCAGCAGCAACAGCCCGAGCTCCCATACAAACAGCAGGAGAAGCAGCAGCTCCAAGACCCGGCCGTAACCGTCTCCCCACTGGCCTGGGAGAACAAATCATCAGACAACATAACCGACGGCTCGTCGCAAAAGACACGCCGAAGCGCCGACTCCGTCTTCTCCCAGTCGGGCTCCTGGACCTACGAACTGGTCAGCATGGTCGTGGCTTTTGCTGCCGTGGCGTCCATCATCGCCGTGCTGGCCTACTACAACGGCAAGCCCCTCCCGTCCTGGCCCTACTCCATCACCATCAACGCCGTCATCGCCATCCTGGCCACGGTCGCTACAGCGAGCATGAGCGTCCCTCTGTCAAGCGGCCTCGGCCAGCTGAAATGGATCCGCTTCAAGCAGGGCCACGCGCCCCTCTCCGACATGGAAGTCTACGACGACGCCAGCCGCGGCGCGCTGGGCGCCATCCGCATGCTGTTTCGCCTGCGCGGGGGCATGTCGGGCTCGTTTGGCGCCGTCATCATGATCATCGCGCTGCTGCTCAACCCGTTCGCGCAGCAGATGGCCACCTATCCCACGCGCACCGTGTCGTCGCCAGTAGGCGCCACAAACTACCGCGCCGCGTCGTATGGGCTAGCGCTGAAGAGCATAGACGAGCGGGCGGCGTTTGTGCCGATCCTGCCGCTCAAGTCGGCCGTGTATAATGGGCTGTTTGCCGAAAATAACAAGCCGTGGACGAGTCTGCCTGTGGCTTGCCAGACGGGCAATTGCACCTGGGAGCCGTTCGAGACGTTGGCGGTGTGCTACTCGTGCATTGATATGACCGAGTATATTACCCCTTATTGTGCCAATGGGACGGCCACAGCTGAGAAAAGGGCGAGCTGCGGCTGGCAGGTGCCCTCGGGAGCGAAGCTGAACTCGAGCGCTGAGGTATTCAGCATGACTTCGATGGTTCGTGTTTTATCATCGTCTGTATCCTTGCCCGACATCAACACATACTAACTCAGACGACAGTTCCCCCAAAGACTCGGCGACATGTCATACTCAACCCTGATGAAGCTCGTCTTCATGGGGACCGAGTCTCAATCTGACCGGCCCGGCGTGTTACAGCCCTGGGCGAAGCAGTGCTCCTTGACGGCGTGCATCCAAACCCTGAACTCCACCGTCACCAACGGCGACCTTAACGAGACAATCATAAGCCAGATCACCAACGACACCATACCCTCGTCCACCCCTCCACCACCATCCAGCGATGGAGGGCTCCAGCCCGTCGTCATCACCAGCCCCGCCACCAACGCGTCCTACGCCCTCTCCATGGACGTCATCCTGGCCGTGCAGTCGTGGTTCTCATCCCTGTTCCGCATCGGCGCCGCCTCGCGCAACGCCGAATTCATCAACCGCACCATCGAGACCACGACCACCACGGCCCACGTCGTCGTGAACCTGACAGTCGGCATCTCGAGCGGCACCACCTTCTTCGACACCGACATCGTGCAGGCGTTCTACTGGAACTACTACGAATACCTCTCCAACCCCACGGCCAACAACGAGATTGGCGGCATCGAGATGCTCATGCGCGACCTGGCTATTTCCATGACGGTCAGCATGCGCAGCTACGGCCCGCCCACGGCCAAGCTGACGGTCAACGGGACGGCCTGGCACAGCGAGAGCTTTGTCAATGTGCGCTGGGGGTTCGTCGCGGTGCCGGTGCTGGCGGTCGTGCTGGCGGCGGTGTTCTTGGCGGTGGCGGTGTGGATGACGCGGAGGAGCGGGGTCAGTTTGTGGAAGACGAGCGTGCTGGCTGTGCTGTTCCACGGGCTGGACGAGGAGGCGAGGGAGAGGTTTGAGGAGGTTGCGGGTGGGTTCGGGGAGAAGAGGAGGGAGGCGAAGGGGGTGATGGGAGGGAGATGGGTATGGGGGGGAGGAGGATGGGTGGTGGGGGGAGTGAAAGTGGTGGGGTGTTGAGGGTGCATAGGGTTTATTAGGGTAAGGATGTGAGTATGTACTATTTACTATGCTACTGTTATGTAACTTATGACTGATGACGGTGATGAACCGAACAAGAAGGGAACCAGTCTAAGGTGGGTATTGTTGGGTTGTTAGAGGCGATATTTTGGTGGAACTTGATAATGGCTAATGTTTATTTCATCCAATATGAACCCCCTTTTTGAATTATAAGACGAGCTTGGATTGTTTACAAGACACAGCCACCATTCACGTAGTCATTAGAGAGTCTCGAAATTCGCTCAACATCAATTTCATACTAAGGTAGTATCTAAATATCTCAACAAAAGAAGTGAAAGGACAAAAGAAACAGTGACTGGGCGGTTGTTCCAAGCTTTCATCCTGGCATGTGCGTGGCCAGTGCAGGCAAGATATCAGCAACAGGAATGCTGGCCAGCTGTGCCCTTTTCCACGCCAGAATATCGGTCAAGGGGGGAAGCTGAAAAACCGGACGAGGGGTTGGAGATTTGTTTTCTTTTTGGTTGGTCTTCAGAAGAGAGCAGAGAGGGATGCTCTCTATCTACGAGCAGCGGTAAGAGCTGGCAAGGTCGTTGAAGCTGTAGTCGACCAGGTTCCTGATGCCGGGGTTGACGATACCGCCAAGGGTGCGGCCGGCGCAGTCGTAGTTCCTTTATTGTCGTGATTGCTGGTTAGCTGGCTATTTCTGTAAAAGACTGGTGGGTGGGTAACAGCGTAAGCTGATGACAACTCACTCGTAGAGAACGCAGGTGGTGCCAGCATCGGGGCCGAGGGACGAGATGGCGTCGTTCCAGCCGTTGAAGAGGCCGTCTGAGATGCTCAGGTCAGTGATATGTTTAAAAGGATTATGAGTGTTGACACTTACAGCACTGGCCGGTGGTAGTCTCGAGGTTCTCGCAGCGGCCCTGGAAGTTTGCGCTGTCGCAGACATACAGGTGGGTGATGGCGCGCTTGACGTTGCTATTTGTTTTTCTTGTTAGCCATGTGAAAGCCTGAAGTAATGGGCCCAAGTTGTTCGCGTACGCGAGAGGAGCGACGCCCTCAGAAATGACGTTGGAGCGGGTCTCGATCATCTGGGCAGACTGCTTAGCGGGGACCTCAGTAGGAGCAGCTATGACGAGGCTGGTGAGAGCCGCGAAGGCAATATTGATCATGGTGGTCTTCATGTTGAGAGATGAGAGTTGAAGAGATGAGAGTTGAGTCTGTTGACTGTGGTGGGTGATTGTAGAGAGAGAAGAGTGTTAAGATGAAGATGAACGTGATGAAGAGAAAAGGACATGTGCTCTTGGGGGAGGAGAAGGGCAGTATTTATATTCTGCGAGTTGAGTAGCTATTCTCGTCTGTCTCTTTCAATTCTCGCCAAGCCCGTTATCCTGATGGCTTGCTACTGTCACCATCACCGTCACCGCCTCTCTTGG